CCTGGCCAGGTCAGCACCATCCTTATCCCTCTGCTCTCAAGATAAGAAAACCAAAAACATCAGTAACAGTACTGGGTCAATAAGAAGCTCTTGCCCCATAAGAAAGAGGAGCACCCTGATAAAGAGGAAGAGGGAAAGCCTGCTGCTAAAGTGGGCTTTACATTGGGAATCAGGAGAAAACTTAGAGTATCTACTTTATGCACCCGAATGAAAAGGAAAAAGAAAACCCAGCCTCCAAAAAAAAGAGATGGTGGCAGGGAGGGAACAACAGCTGAGCTTTAAAAAAAAAAAACTGGATAAAGAGAAACTGGAAGTGAATTCAAGCATATCTTAACAGTAGGAACAAATTCTACATTAGAGGCAACAAAGTACAGAAGCAGGAAAAAATCTAATTAGTATTTTAGCATGCACACGTGAGATCTCAAAACACACAGAAGGAAAAGTACCAAGATGAAAAGAACGCATACTGATTGACAGGAAGTACAAAGAATACAGATCTAACCTACAAAACAACTGGCTTTTCTGAACTGAAACCATAAGCAAACATGAAATTGAAAAATTACTCCTGAGCTAGAAAAAAAAGGGATTAAAAAGTTTCACTGGCAACAAAAAGAATAAAAAAACAAACCACCAAAAAGATTTACTCCCATTAATTGAAATAATTCACTATGTTTCTGAGAAAACTGTTGGAAAGAAACCTAAGTCTAGAGGTAAGCCAGTGGAATATCTTTAAAAATAAAATGTAAAAGTAAAAGCAAAGATGCAAGCAGAAAAATCAGTTAACCTACAAAGGAACAAAAACTAGGGATAGCCTCATCTATCTGCTCCACAGCAAGGAACTCTAAAGTGTCTAAACATCTGAGAACTTCTGACTTAAACTTCTGCATCTTAGTGCCTATAACAGAGTTGGGCAGATGGGAAACATTAAATAAATGTAATAAATCCAAGAGAAGCTCAAAAATTTAAATGAATTTATTCTATCGATACATATCTCTACCTCTTTATAATACCTTTATCCTCAACTTTCTAGCTTTTAGACAAGTTGTATCTCTTCCCATTTAAACAATAGATGCGTGACATCTAATCTTTTTGATACGAGTGTCATTCCTTGTATAAGAAGATTATCATTTCTTCATGTAAAACAAGATTTCTCTGAAAGCACAGGAGTTGTTCCACCACTAGTTTGAGCTACTCTACCAGCTCAAACTATCTTGCTGCTTCTGAATAGCAGTACTTACCTCTAGTCGGAGACAAGAACTAATGACATACTCAACAAATAAAAAGGTAAAGAAAATGATTAACACTATATTACAAGCTATAGACTTCATGTTAGTCTAAATACAGATTATAGAGCTATGTGTTTTTAAAATATACTACCAAGCATTATAGTTTTGGGGGGAAAAAAAGTAGTTGGAGATTTTGGTAATGGAATTGACAATCCCTTTAAAGTTTTTTCTTTTTGCAAAGTCTTCACTGAAGACTAGATTAATGTGCCTTTTTATTTCCACAAGCTTTTCACTCATTCACTCAGCATCTACAATATCCTAGCACTTGCTTTGTGTGTCCTTCTAGAAAGGAGTATCAAAATTTTCCTGGTGAAATCAGAGAAGACTCCAAAAATGGGAGTCTGGAAGACCTGAGTTCCATTCCTGAGGAACTGAATTTTGGATTTGAATAAGGGCCTAAAAAGTGGAAACAAAGAAAGTCATGCCCAAAAGAGGGAAGAGCTCCTGCAGACAAGGCCTAAAAAGACTGTGCTAAATTTTTTTTAAAAGTGGCAGTACACAGAGCAAAGGCTGGTAAAATATGAGCAGATAAGTTTCAGTGGTTCCCAGAATAAGGAGGGACCAGTTTCAAAGGAGCTGTTTGGAAATGAGTGGGATCATACTAGCCTCTGACAAAGAGAAGGGGTTGTACTTTGTTACTGCCGGTTAATGCTCAGGAATGAGTTACAGTAAGCATCCTACAAGGTATGAGACAGTCCCATAAAAATGCCAATTAAGACCCCTTTGAAAAAACATTGGGAAGTAGGTTGGGGCTTAACAAAATCCAGAGTATTTAACCCTAGGGTTCCTTAGCTTGTCTTTGAAATCTTCACAATCTGCATTTCACTCACTAAATATTTACTTCCAAAGAAGCTGTGTTCTTTCCTCTGACCATTATGACGCTCAGACCTTAGTTGTGGTCCATCTTTAATAATTACACAACTTTTCATGGTATGTATTTCAGTAAAACACACTCCAGCCTTTCTAGTCAAGCTTCGTATTTTCATGACCCTAATTTATCTTTATTTTGTATGTTATTATATTATATACAGATTATAAACTACCTCAAATATTTTTAGAACCAAATAGGGTATAAATTTTAAAAATATAGGCAACAAAATAAAATGAAAAACAGAAAAAAAGAATATTAGAAAGATAGAAAAAAATACTATATTGAGTCTGTAGTATCCTGGGAAAACTCTGACTTTTCAAAACTCTGACTTTTCATATTAAAAGATATAATATGTAATCTTTGCCTTAACAATCTGTAATCAAATTTGTAAGAAAAGATTCAAACTGAAAAGAACGTTAGAAATAAAAGACAGCAAAAACTAGTGATAAATTGTATAACCACTGTTTAAAGGATTAGTACAGATTAAAATAATAATTTTAATAGTGTGTATTGAGCTCTAACAATAAGTCAAAAACTGTATCAACTTGTTGAAATTTCATTGAAACCCTGAGGTAATTACTGTTATTTTTTCCATTTTACAAATGAGGAAATTGGGACAGAGAGGTTATGTAATTTGTCCAAGGAAACACAGCTGTTAAATGTAGCAATTTGACCTGAGTCAGTCTGAAGTCATACTTTCGATAATCCTTAATTAATTATAAGAAGATACTGAAAGGCAGAAATATAATACATAAAGGGATGAGGAGGATTAGTGGGGGGCAGGGGGGTAGAATCATGTTGAAATGAGGCAGAGTAGACAGGAAAAGAATCTAACCGGAGCATATAGGTTAAGGAATACAAGAAAAAAGGGAGGCAGTTTATAAATAGTCTTAAAACTCAAAAGATTTAATTTAAGCAGTGGGCAATAGGAAACCATTGTAGGTTCTTGAGCTCAAAAGAGATGATTAAAAAAAGTTTTTCTCTGAAAGCTATTACATGACAGCGATCAATTCACAGTCATAAATTCTCTTCCTGGGTCCCGTAAACCTAGGAGATCAAGCACTTCAAGGCTTGGGATGCCATGTACACGAGTGCAGACTCTGATTCTGCGTAGTTTTAGCAACCTTTCCCTAATCTGGATGTTTTAAGTAGGGTTTATTCTCTCTTCCCCTACTTTCTGACTGTTTTGTAGTCAGCATGCTTGACACCTGAAGATATCTGTTTTCAAAGGATAATCACCAAATAATCTCTATGGTGTTTTGTTGTTATGGTTCCCTAAATGATTCAAATCATGCCTCTAGACTCTCAAAACACATTTCTAGACTTCAAAGATATTAATCATATCAAGTCCAGTTTTAAATAATCTGCTTATTTGAACTTTACCTTCTTGCTTTTCCTAAAGGATTGGGTATCTTTCTCAGAAATATACAAGCATTAAGGACTGCTACCACTTTAAAATTTGTCACAAAACATTATGCCAAACTCGACTGCCTCATCATATAGCAAAATCTCAGTTAATCTTATCCCAAATTAAGGGGAAAGGGAAGTGGGAAGGAGAGAAAAGAGGGTGCAGAAATAATCTTGTAACATTCGATAGTGAACTCAGTTCAGAACTGATGGGAACTGCTTCCATTAATTTCCCCCATTAAAATATCAATAACAATTCTTAAACCTTGTAACTGCACGACTTTAATTTGAATTTCTCAATACTCAACATTGGGGGGGAGGGGACATGTTTTCAATTTGTAGATGTTTCTTCTTGCCTATATCTGATCCTTCAGAAGCAAGAAGTTAAGGTCCTACGATGGAGTTGAGTACTAAACAGGGCCTATGTTTTCCAAGTCTTAAAAGTACAAACTTAAGCTCTTACCACAAAGAAGTGGAAGCCATTGTCAAACTGTAGGGGTTTTTTTAATTTAGAAACATGATTCATAAAAACAAAGTGAACCTGTGGCAAGGATTCATTGAACTTACAATGGAGGAACAAGCTGAATGGTAAAAATTACAAAAACCGTGGAAATAGGGCAATAAAACCACAACCTTCTGTATTTTTTTCTCCCATTCAGAAATAATTTTCATCTCAATTAAACAACAACAAAAAAAGGTAACTGCACAGCCTGGGCTCTAATCAATACTATGTCAAGCAAAATATAGTCCCCTAGATAACTAGTTCTTTCTCGGGTGAGCGTTATTAGGTAGACAACAGTCCATTTTGAGTTTGAGAACACATGTAGCTATGATTTTGCCTTTCTGAAATGCTTTTAATTTTTGCAAAAGTAAATGTTTCTATAAATCGGTTAATTACTCTTCTCTCTCCCAACCCCCTTCGTGATTTCAGCTAGGTTACTTTGGAGGAAAAAAAATTTTGTTTATAAATATTAGGTTTTTCCTCCTGATAGTCCATCTGAAACCCCTTCAAGAGGAGCTTGACCATTGTACTTTCCAGTAATTTAAAACCCTTTGTTTCAAGGTTACACGGATAAAGACTTGCTATCCCCGTGCAAGCTTTAACCACAGGGCAGTAACTACCTACGTCAAAGGTGAGGTCCCGGTAGGGGCCTAGGAGTGCGCATGGCAGAGCCTGACCCCCGCAAAAGGGGGCACGCCCCCTTCACTTCCCCTCCCCCCGGCAGTTGGCCACCCCGGAATGCGGCTCCAGCGACAGTGGGGACCGTGACTGCGTTTCTCTGGCGGAAGCCCCTTTTCCCGGCGTTTTGTGCAGGGTTGGGCTCTTCCCCGCCCACCCGCACTCGCCCTTTCTCCCCGTCCCAGGAGTGTTGTGAGAACCGTGCGGGCAGCTGAGCCGGGAAGGGGCAGCCCGCAAAGGCTATGGGAATACTCACCCGGCTCCGCTCGGCCAGACCCGGCCGCCCAGCCCAGCGAGGGCGGGGCGACAGGGCTGGGGGAGGGGAGCCGGGGCGCGGTACCCTTAACTTCACAAGCTACAGCCCCGCCAGCGGCCTCAAGGAGGAGTGGGACGGACCCCTGGGAGCCACAGGGGTGGCGACGGAGGAGCAGAGCCACGCCAGAAGGAGGTGCACCAGGGGAGGTGCCCACCCCCTCCCTGAGCCGGAGCCGCCGCCGCGGGCTACCGAGTTGGAGCATGCGCGTTGCGCCTCCCGCGCACCAGGGGGCCTGCCTAGCGCCACGGCAAACACCCGGGTCTCTGCGCGCGCGGCGAGGGCCTGGGGGTGTGACCTCCAGGCTGCCCGCGTAGACAGCCATCCAGTCCCCGCCCCTCACGTCTCCGGCTGGCCCGGGAACGGAAGTCTTTACCCTCTGCGAAGCACAAAGGCGGCCGGGGAGCAAGCCGAAACCAGGAGACGGGGTGCCAGCGCTTTCAAGGGCATCGGCACGCTCTCTAACATTAGTCAAATGGCAGGAAAATAAAAGGGTGACCAATAGAGAAAGGATAGAGCTAGAACGGGGCCGAATTGTGCAGTGTCATTAGCATCTCTCTTAAGAGGTTGGAGAACCACGCCAGCTAACAGATACACGCACACTGCAAAACTACTGTAAATACCTAAGGAAGGCCCAAGCAGGACTATCCACCCCGCCCCCTCCCCACCCCACCCCTGCCATTAAAACAAAAGGACCAAACTGAAGCACCAATCTAGAAGTTAGGAATCCGCGAATTGACAATCCACGGCACATATATCAGGGGAAAAAAGAAAAGAAAATCTAGCAGCAGAATTAAATTAGAGGAAAACGGTGGAATAAAGAAACAACTAGGGAAAGCTGTAGGAGAATTAAAGGCGATCGAAATGAAATACGGAAAACGCAACAGCAGACATCTGAGAGAAAACTAGCATCTGCTCCTTTGAACACAGCAGAATTAAACTAGTGTCTAAAGTAAAGAGTAAACACAAGCAAGGAAGTGAAAGGAAAACCTGCCTTCAAATGTCCCGGGCATGGTTTTGATCTTGTGTAAGAATTATGTTAAAAGTCACCATTAGAGAAAGGTAGGTTAGAGGATGGGTATGCGGGACTCTAATGTACTATGTGATTTCCTGTGAGTCTATAATTATTTCAAAATAAAAAGGTCCTTAAAATGGACAGAACCGTGATCAATGGTGACTAGGGGAAAGGGCTACCAAAAAGAAACATGAGGGAATTTGGGGCGGCGGTGAGCTAGTGGGACTGTTCTATATCTTCACTTTGTTAGTGATTACACCGATGTTTTGTTTACCAAAACTTATAAAAGGTTAGATTTCACTGCATGTACAATAGTCTTACATTCAATTTTTTAAAAAGATACTCGTAGTAAAGATGAATTTCCTAACATGTTGCAGCAGCTATGTATATAAATTAGACATTTTGTGATCAATATGGAAATAAAAACTGTGTTCTATGATTATAATTATATATCACATTCCTTAGCTTAGAGCTTGTTTGATGATTCTAATGTACAGAAAATTTTGGTCTTTAATATGGTATGGCTATGTTTATAAATCGAGAATTCATTCTCATTGCAGGATTCACTGTGTATTGATACTGGTGTGTTATAACGATGTTTACATTGAGATAAGTTCAGTTTGCAGCTCCGGAAGCCTTTGTACAGATTTAATTTAGAAAACTCCCCTAAATTCAGACCAAATCAGACGTTGCTCCGAAGGCAATGACTCCCTTTAGGCTGCCTCTTAAAATAAATAACAACATACATTTGCACAGCCCCTTCCTCTGTATTATCTTATTAGAGAGACAGGAGACATGCTGGGTGGAAAGGGCACCAATATGGAGTCAAGAAGTCATAGAGCAAGCTTTATTTCTGACACTTACTTGGTATGTAAATTTGGTGCAGTCACTTAATCTGAATCTTAGCACCTATATTTCTATAAATTGGAATTAGTAATAATCCCCACTTTGCAGAGCTGTGGAGAACAAAAAGATACACATTTTCAAATTTATTGGATTGATACATAGAGACAATGGCATAATAAAAACATTACTATGATCATGTAACCTGTGTTTTCCAAACGTGGAAAAATGGCCAAATACAAACAATGTGTTAAAGTATGACCTCACTTATGTTCCTATAGAAGAACGGTAAAGGTTATAACCAAAAGTTAAAAATGGCTATCCTTAGGTAAGGGAATTATGAATGACTTCTCTTTTTCATACTTTTTTAAATTTCAGATTTAGGGAAAAGTAATGTATTATCAATGTGTTACTTTTTATAATAAAAATAAAGAATGCTATCTTCAGTTTAAAAAATTAACACTGAGGCCCTGTTGGGGTGGCTGAGTTTTATTAAATAAATAAAAGTTAAAATTAACATTGATATCTGTGATTTTAAATGAGAGCAAATTATTTATGATCTTAACATTACTGAATATGTGTTTGACACAAAGAAAGGAATGTTATCTGGATACAAATTATATCCTGTTGTTCTATAAATGGAGTAACAATGGAGGTAAAGAGGTCAACTTCAAAGGGAGAAAAGCCAAAATGTGATGGCCATCAGAGGATGATTATAGGACATTCCAAATGTGCAATTTCCTACCTTCTGCAAACCCGAGTTGGCCATGGAGAATGCCCCTGCATGGCTCAGCCTTCCTCAAATTGTAAGAGTGGAAAATTGTAAGGGTGGAAATTGTAACCCACCCTATCATCTTTTTGGACATTGTTTCTGTAAGTGCTGCCTGTCTGATGTGTAGCTTGTAGTTGAACAGCATGTTTGTATAAGTACCCTAGGGACTAATTTCAAAAGATACAGACACTGACCTTCAAGCATCCCACTTCCAGGAGATTTGCTGACCGTCAGCCATGGAGCCAGGATGACGTATAGTCAGGATGACCTGAAGCCTGGATGACTAAACCGGGACGATGCACATTGGACCACCATTTGCTTTATCGGAATGGACTGTGCTAGTTTGCATGTAGCTAACTTTTTAACACCCTCCCTTGATCTTTGTTCTGTTCCCCTCTCCCTCCTTATGAAAACCTCTGCCTCCACTGAGATGTGGAGACATGATGCCCCCATCTTCCCAGGAGACAGGCTTCAAGATATGAGTCCCTCATCTTCCAGTATCTGCAAATAAACTACTTTTTTTTACATCAGCACCCGCCTCTCAAGTCCTGGCTTTTGTAGCAGTGGGCAGCTGGACCTCCTTTCAGTTACAAAATTAAAGGGCTGATAGTGTAAATATGTAGGCATAGATTGTAGGAGGATATAAAGAGACATTATTATTATATATATACTCAAGGTACATTAAAAGATACATTATGGAACATAAATAATTACAGGAAGAAAGAGGACACTAAAAGACGTCCAGTCCCATTGAATTGTAATGTTGTTAAAATGCTAAATGTGGAGTGAAATAGGCCACAGTTGAATGGTGTTGCTGCATTTTTTTAATGTAATGTTTGACTGCCTTTTATTACAATGCTTTAACTATTTTTTTAAAGATTTTATTTATTTTTAGAGAGGGGGAAGGGAGGGAGAAAGAGAGGGAGTGAAACATCAATGTGTGAGAGAAACATTGATCAGTTACACATGCCCCAACTGGGGACCAGCCCTCAACCCAGGCATGCGCCCTGACTGAAGATTGAACCAGCAACATTTGCAGAAGGATGCTCAATCACCTGAGCCACACCGGGCGGGGCTGATGCTTTTCATTTTTTATGTCATTTGGTATGTGTGCTAAAGAGGAGGTAAATCTTATTTCCGTATAGACTTGTCTCTGATATTGGCTCTTAATAAACGCACCACACCCTACTTGGGTTGGTCAGATGTTCAGTCTGGTCAGTGGGGAAATGCTGGGTTTTTGCTTCTCTGATTTGTCATGATGGCTTCATAAGGATGTTCTGTAGGGTGATGTAACAACCCATGGGTGAAGTATAGCACTTGAAAGGACCAATAAAGAATTGAAATACCTTCTTATACACTAATTCCAATAACACTGTTCAGCCAGAGGTTAATGGCTTGTGTGATGCTTGGCCTAGAGATTCTACCAGTCTGAGGCTGCCTATGGCCCCAGCTGGGTAGACAGGTATGTGGACAGCTGTATGGTGCTAGAGGACATCTTCTTAGAATAAGAACATCATTCCAGATGATATGAAAACAATCCACACGTGAGCTGTATCCTTGTAACATCACTTTGTGCTTTCAATAAATGCTTTTGCTAAGTAGAATGTAAGTTAACTCATTTCTTCAGTTTTCAGAAATCTAACCAAAACAATCTGGATTGGCATATCCAAAAGGCAACATCCATTCAGCAGTTTAGTGTATAAGTCCAGAACTCATGGAAGAGGTCAGGCTGAAAATATATACAGCAGAATTATCTCCTATACTTACTTAACTTATATTCACTCTACTATGTGTACTTGGCAAAAAAACAAAAACATATTTTTCTTATAACTTGGCCCTTAAATGCAAGCCAACAACTTCATCTGGTATTCAACTCAAGAAACAGCCTTCTGTTCCAACAGCAGAGGAAAGCTGGCTGTGTAGGATTTCTTGATTGATAGTATATATATATTCAACATCATGTGTACAGTATTCAGAGATTTTTCAAAGGTAATTTTAACTCTACTCTATTTTTGCTTTTCACACTGACTTTAGATCCTAACCCCTTCGGAAAAAGTCACTCCTCTGTATTTGGATATCATTGGTATACAGATGATAGTTGAAGCTATGATTACAGAAGACACTATACCAAGAAAATATATAGACTGAGAAAAGAAGAGATGGGGGGAGCGTTGAATCTTAGAGAACATCAATATTTTAAAAGGGGATTGAGAAATCCCAACTTCCAGTTATAAAATAAGTCACAGGGATATAATGTACAGCATAGGGAATATGAGGTCTGTCCAGAAGGCATCCAGCCATGTAATAGGAAAATAGAGGCATTTATTGAAGAATATATAAGATATAAGAAACATTGTACATA